TTATCAAGCATTTTAGTTCTGTTTATCATAAGGATTGTTCAACAGTTTTTCTCAAAACTTTAGTTAAGATCCTCTTGTGTGCTGACTTTGACACATACTAAACCTGTGTCTAAAGGTACATAATATAGGTTTTATGGAATGTGTGTATTTAAACCACAAACTGTTTAAAAAAAGGAAAATAGGTTGTGTATGCTAAATCAATAATATTGATCTCTAAGGTATGGTCACTTTATCTTAAGGATAAAAATGTAAAAATACCATTTATTGGTTACTGATTTAATAAGTTATGATTAGATGGATCTCTGATAACAACTGTGGCCACTTTAGCTTGTAAACATCTATGATTCACTTTATAAAACAGCAGAATTTTTGAAGCTTGACCAAGTAAATAATAACTGGAAGTATTCATTCCATTTTTTGGTAGGTCGACATAAAACAAAAATGGTCAAATTTTCAGTGTTTCAAAAGTGTCATTTTGCAGAAGAGAGCTTAAAAGCTATTAGATAAAATAAATATCACATTCTGTTTGGGGATATGTATATATAAATTTGCACATTGTATAATCAACTGAAATAAACTTATTATATTATCAACCATGTAGTAATATTTGAAGAATCTTAATTTCTACTTGATGTGTATATTTTATAACTAGGACAAAAACTGTATATATACATGTAGCAGAAGGAAAATATTACTAGACTTTAATTCTCAAGTTATTATATAACTGATACACTAAAATATAGACATGAATGTGAAAGTGGTATTTGTGAAGTTTCTTACTGTAAGGAAAATGTGGATTCTTCCCTATAGTACTGGACAGACTCCTAGCACCTTCCTCTCACTGATGCTAGTACACCCTTGACATCTCTGCGAAAAAAAAATTCTCATATATCAACCAAGACAAAATGTGGATCTAGTAGGTGTGCCAGCCTTGAATCATCTCACATACTGGTTTTTGTCTTTTTCACTTTCAGAATGTTTACAGCATATGCTAGTTATTACACCAAAAATAAAAACCAAGCAAAGAAAGCATTAGAAGTGTAGATCCATTCCAAGTGCAAAATTCCAATTATCAAAGCCTAAACACAAGACTTTTATTAAAAAATCCACTCTGATCTGCACTATAATTGGCACACTTTCTACTTAGTGACACTGGCAATTTAGTGTTGAGTGTTTATTTTATTTTTTCTTTACAAACAGTAACACAACATGATAGAAGCTGAGGGCAAGACAGAGCTCTGGGTGAGGTCTCTGAACCTTCCTCAGACTCGGTCTCCTCTGCTATTTGGGGGTGCAGGGCTCAGCGGTTGTTTAAAGATGTCTGAAGACCAGCTCCTGTCATCAATGACGCATCGAAATGTATCTTAATGATTCTGCAGCTGCCAAAAGTTAGAGCTACTCTAAATTTTTCTGTCTGGATTTGGTTACAATGGACTGTGTGGTTTGTTAGAGTAGATTTGTTCTAGTTCTGAGTTGGTAACTAAACCTGATGTCAATAAATGAAAGTGAGTTTATGAAAATTTAAATGATACTATAGTAGGTTCTTAATACAAGATATAATTATTTAATTTTTCTTAATAACAAAATATAAACTATAAAATCACCATACACTCTCAGTATCAAAGATAGAGTATTAGAAACAGTGTATGACTCCCCACCAGGTGAGTACCTGATGGTCTGAAGTTGTCTTAGACTAGGTTGCTTACCTGGAGAGATTGGTTAGGACAGAGCAATAAAAATTGTGACTTCCAGGTCAGGTTTCCAAAAATCATACAGGTTCTTTCACCAGAAGATCAAACTTCTATTAGCCCGTGGCTATAAATTTTTTTCTTTCTAAATTCAGAATCCACAAAGATATTAAGTCTATATCTGATTTGAGAGACTTGGATTGAACATTGGAATTTATATCACTTTACTGCAAAGAAACATTATAAATGTACACAACTTTATTTACTCCTCACAAGAAACCTACCAGGCCATTATTAACATCCCTGTTTTATTTTATTTTTGTACTTTAGATGAAGGTTTACAGAACAAATAGTTTCTCAATTAAACAGTTAGTACACATATTGTTTTATGACAATGGTTAACAACCCCAAGACATGTCAACACTGTCCCTTCTCAACCTTGGGTTCCCTATTACCAGCTTTCCTGTCCCCTCCTGCCTTCTAGTCCTTGTCCCTGGACTGTTGTGCCTCATTAGTCTCGTTTGTTTTATGGGGCTGTCTGATCTTTGGCTGAATAGTGAACCTCGGGAGTGACTTCATTACTGAGCTAAAAGGGTGTATGGGGGCCATACTCTCGGAGTTTCTCCAGTCTCTGTCAGGCTAGTAAGTCTGGTGTTTTTTTGTGAGTTAGAATTTTGTTCTACATTTTTCTCCAGCTCTGTCCAGGACCCTCTATTGTGATCCCTGTCAGAGCAGTCAATGGTGGTAGCCGGGCACCATCTGGTTGTACTAGGCTCAGTCTGGTGGAGGCCGTGATAGTTGTGGTCTGTTAGTCCTTTGGACTAATCTTTCCCTTGTATCTTGTTTTCTTCATTCTCCCTTGCTCCCAAAGGGGTGAGACCAGTGGAATGTCTTAGATGGTTGCTCCCGGGCTTTTAAGACCCGAGACGCTACTCACCAAGGTAGAATGTAGAACATTTTCTTTATAAACTGTGTTATGCCAATTAAGCTAGATGTTCCCTGAGACCATGGTCCCCACAGCCCTCCGCCCAGCAATTTGGTCCCTCAGGGAGTTTGGATGTGTCTATGGGGCTTCCATGACCTTTCCTTGTACAAGTTGTGCTGGCTTCCACAGTATTGTATACTGTCTTACCCTTCACCAAAGTTACTACTTATCTATTGTCTATTTAGTATTTCCTCCCATCATCCCTCATAACCAACAAAGATTGTTTCTTTTCATGTGTAAACTTTTTCATGAGTTTTTACAGTAGTGGTCTCATACAATATTTATCCTTTTGTAACATCCCTATTTTAAATAAGAGACTCAGCTTTATAGAAACTTACTCCAGGTCACAGACTTAGTAAGTGGTGGAGCCAGATAAAGTGCAAAAGTGAAGTAAGCAGGATGGGGATTTAACCTTGGTTTCAGGTTCCTCCAACTCCAAAGTTAGTGCTATTCAGTAAATCTCTATTTGATGGAATTTCTGGCAGTGAGAGCAAAGTTAATAATAGTTCAGTCATACATTGGGCTGTAAAAAGGAAGAAAATAAAGTAGAAACTAAGGAAGGAAATTGAATTGTATCAAGGGAGGATTTTTCTTAATTTGAGGGAGAAACTTGAGCATGGCCTCACCCCAAGAATCAGTTTCCTTTCCAAACCTGGTAATGCTTTTTATATGAGAGTATAACAAATGTTATTGAGCACCTTCTGTATACCAGACTCCAAGCTAGGCAATGGGGATATGATGGTGTAAGAGACAGTTAGCAATCCATACCTCACAGAGCTTATAAACCAAGAGGATTAACAGACATAAAGCAGATGAGCTCAGTGATGAAGGCACTGCCGAGAAGTGCAGGTGTCTTCGAGAGTTTGTTGGGGGCTGACATAGTGATAGTGCAGGGGTAGGTAAACCTGGAAATACCCCTGAAGCAGAATAGATGTGAGGGAGCATTTCAGGCAGACAGAAAGATGTGCATAAAGACTCTGAGACAAGCACTCAAGGAACAGAAAGTTCACAAGTGTGATCAGGGCGGAGACAGCAAAGTGGAAAATGACATGAATGAACTTCTGAGGTGGCAGAAGCCCCACATGTAGGTCCTTGTGTTATTCTTAGTTGCTGTCCAGTCGACTTTGACTAATAGTGACCCTATGTATAAGAAAACAAAACACTGCCCACCCTGTCCTGTGCCGTCTTCGTGATCATTAGTATGTTTGAGGTCAGTTGTGGCTATTGTGTGAGTCCATCTCTTTGAGGAGCTCCCTCACCTTCACTGACCCTCTGCTTTACCAAGCATGATGTTCTCTTCCAGCTATTGGTCTTTCTTGATGACGTATCCAAAACAAGTGAGTTGAAGGAACATTCTTGTTCCATTTCTTCTAAGACTGATATGTTCATTCTTTTGGCAGTCCACGATATATTCAATATTCTCCACCAACAAAAACCAAAAAATACCAAGCCCACTGTGTTAAGTCGATTCTGAATCATAATGACCCCATAGGACAGAGTAGACCCGCCCCATAGGGTTTCCAAGGCTGTAAGTCTAATTTATGGAAGCAGACTGCCACATCTTTCTCTCATGGATGTTAGTGGGTTCTAACTACTGACCTTTTGGTTAGCAGCTGAGCACTTTAACCACTGCACTACCAGGGCTCCTTTCTTCCCCAACACCACATTTCAAATACATCTACTCTTCATATGTCTTCCTTTTCCATTGTCCAACTTTTGCTTGTGTATGGGATGATTGAAAAGACCGTGGATTTGGGTCAGGTTCACCTTAGTCATAGATGCTGAACTTTATCATAGTAGCAGTGGAGAAACATTGAGCAGTTTTATGCAGGGGAATGACAGCATCCGTTTTTTATTATTTAGTTCAAAATGAAAACTGGATTGTCAGGGAGACCAGTTAAATGGCTAATGAAGTGGACAAGGTGGGAGATGACAAGGTGGGAGGAGTGTAGCAGCAGTGGAGACAGAGAGAGGTAGATTCAACAGACTTTTGAAAGGTAGACTTCCCTGACATGGTGATGGACTAAATATGGAAAGAGAAGGACAATTTGAAAAGTAGCCCTGATTTCAGATGTCTGATTTCAGAGATAGGTATTTTATAGTTTCTATCCCTTCTACACTTTTAGACCCAGCAAATATCAGAAAGTTCCCAACTTTTTCACAATGCTCCCCATTGTAGGGGAGGAGGAACACCCACTGGGAGGCTTTTTGAACACTGGATTTGAACGAGAGGTGAGCATATGAGCAGATGAATCTAATATGATTTGAGGCGTTTTATATATAACTATAATGTACTTCTCTCTTTTTCCCACTATGGATAAAAATAGGAGAACTCACTGTGAAAGAACCCAAGTTTCTTGATTTTGAAGTCAGAAATGAAATACAACTCATCGTGTTAGCTGAAAAGGGTGGGCATAGAGCCTACAGCAAAGTAGCAGTCTTGGTCCAGGATGTGAATGATAATTTACTGTGTTTTGAGAGAAGTGTTTACCATGCATCGGTGTCTGAAGGCCAGTTCTACAATGCTCATATCATACAGGTAGCAGGAATGTTTTTTTGGTTAATTATTATCAATTAATGTACATACAGAAAAATATATAAGACTTTGGCTAGAACACAAATGAAATTTTAAATGTTTCCAGAGTCCCTGTACAATGTTTGATGGATTGGATGAAACCTGAGATTGAAGGAAGCCTTGAGTTTTGAATTTACTTTTCTTCCTCTTGATTCATTCAGTACTCAATTACTGCCGACCTGCTTTCTCTAAGGACTCCCTTGAGCACTAGAAGGAACTCTGTAGGGCACTATAAGTCTGACACATTATTTTTCTACTTAAGTTAGCCATGTTGCTGTTGTTGTTAGTTGCCGTCGAGTCGATTTCAACTCTGCAACCCCATGTGCGCAGAATAGAACTGCTTTCATAGGGTTTTCAAGCCTGTGACTTTTTGGAAACAAATCGCCAGGCCTTACCTCCAAGGCACTTCTGGATGGGTTTGAACTGCCAACCTCTTGGTTAGTAGTTCAAGTTTGCACCATATAGTGGATCTGTATTGTTGACACCCTAAAGTCCTCACTGATCCATTATTCCGGGTGACCTTCTATCTACAAAAGTTTTAAGTGTACAGACTCAGTAGACATTATAGATTTTATCCAGCCCCAGATTCAGACCAATTTCTCTTCCTGGTGATCCCAAAGGGAACTGCATATTGCAGCCTTTGTGTACCAGATAGCTGGATCATGTGCCCTGCAGATGAAGTCCCTGGGTGCTTCAGTTGCTTCAGAACTCTGCAGTAGTGTGAAGGGTAGGCTGAGAGGGTAAGGAGGGCTAGGACATCAGTGTGGCAGCCCAGGAGAGAGATGATGTGGGTGTGACCTAAGGCTGAGGCTGAGGGCAATAGAGGATAAAAAAGGTACAGCATTTTAAAACACATCTGTCAACTTTTTTTTAACAAGACCATGATCCCACAATATAATTAGTTTTGTGATTAGAATTTAATGCAAACTATGTAACTCCCTGGAGGTCTATGCCAAACTGTTGTGTTATTGTCAACAGTATTTTGATAACTCTTTAAATAAGTAATCAAGACCCAAATTTGTTAGCCCTAAATCTAGGTGTTGTTTCGTTTCTTTAAAGATCACTTTAAAATAAGACAGTAAATACAATATTAAAAAAAAAAATCCACATATGGCCTATTTTACGGGCAATACTTTAAGCAAGAAAATAGGAAGGCAGGGAGGGAGGGAGGAAAGAAGGAAGAAAAGAAAGGAAAGAAGGAAGGAAGGAGCAAATGAAAAGTTATCATTTACTATGCAAAAGTTTTCTACAATGTTTTTTTCCTTTTCTGGTTCTAGCCTGAATACACATCCAGCACTGGAAATCTTCTATTCAAGCAAATTTTTTTTTTCCTGTTGGTTGCCTAAAATTATTGCTCAAAAATATGTGCCTTTCCTACTGAAATTACTTGGAAATCCTTTGAGAATATGTATGCACAATAATTTCCTCACTCTTCACCCACCTTACTATAAAACTAAATTGAAGCTTACTGGTATTCCTTTAATCATTGTTTTTAAAATGTGTTTGACAATCTGTGATTCTTTCATAAAGCATTTCTCTGAAAAACTGGTTTATACTATGTTGCAAATTAAATCCTTATTTAACAGAAGAGTTTGTTCCTCACAGGTTTTTGCTGCTCACCCAGACAGTGGGTTGAACAGCCTCCTTGAGTATTCCATTCTTTCTGGCAACCCAGGAGATGTGTTTCAGATTGATGCACTGAGTGATGAGATAACAACTAACATGATTCTGGATTACAAGTCCACCGGCTCCTGCAGGTCTGTCCACCATTCGGATCAATTTGATCAACTGTGCTGCCTTGTTTCTGACAATCTTGTTGCTTTGGGCATGACTTCATGTTATGTAAGCTTAGTTGTCAAAATGTGTTTTCCTTTTGGTCCAACTTATTATTATTTTGGTGACAATATCCAGAGCAAAACATACATCCATTCAACAATTTCTACATGTGCAATTCAATGCTATTGGTTACATTCTTCACATTATGTCACATTTCTACCTGTGTTGTTTCACCACCATTAACTTTTACTCTCTCTGCCCCTTAAAGCTCTTATCTGTGCTTTAGCATTACTGTTGCAATTTGATCTCATATAGATAAATCTTTAAACTAGCACAATGATCTAAGCTGATGTTCTTATTACTTGAGCTAAACTGTTGTTTAGAGATAGCTTTATAGGATGGTTCTAATTGAAAGTTTAAAGATTATTTCAGGACAATAGATTCAGGGGTTCCTCCAGTCTCAATGGATCCAGTAAGTCTGGATTCCATAAGAATTTGATGTTCTCTTCCACATTTTTCCTTTTTTTGATCAGGATCCATCTATTGGATGCTTCATCAAAAGGTTCAGTAATGGTAGCTGGACACCAACCATTTCTTCTGGTCTCATGGCAAAGAAGGTAATAGTTCACGGAGGCAATTAGACCTGCAGTCCATTTCTTTGTCTGAATCCTGGGTCTCCTTCCTTCTCTACTGCTCCAGGTGAATAAAGACAAGTTGTTGTGTCTTGGGTGGCCGCTTGTAAGCTTTTAAGACCCCAGGCACTACTCACCGAACTAGGAGGTAGAAGAGAAACTCTAAAACAACTTTAGGCCAATTGACTGGATAGACCCATGAAGCCATGACCCTAAACCTTCAAACCAAGAAATCTAACTACATTAAGTGTCTAGTTGTATCTAAGTAGTATCAACAAGTGCAGACTTTTTTTATTTTGGGCTGTTGTAAAATTATATAGAACATTATATTTGCCTTTTTGCCCTTTTTTTCTGGTGTACATCTTAGTGATACCAGTTATATTAGTCAAGTTGTGTAACCATTACCCTTAGTAGATGCCAGTTTTCCCAACATCATAGATAGAAATGCACTACTTTCCTCCTCCCTCCTACTTCTGGTAACCACTAGTAACCATCGGTCTCTATATATTTACCTATTCTTGTTGTTTCATGTAAGTGAGACCATGCAGTATTTGTCCTTTTGTAATTGACTTGTTTCAATCAGCATGTCTTTGTGGTTCATCCATGATGTAGCATGTTTTAGGACTTCGTTTTTCTTTAAGGCTGAGTAATATTCATTTGTATGTATGTACCACATTTTGTTTATCCATTCATCTGTTGATGGGCACTTGGGTTGTTTTAATCCAAATTATGATTACTCTTTTTGATATATTTAGTCTTAAAAATTATTTATTATTTGAAAAAAAAGCAGTTAAGCTAGAAGAACTTTAAGGTCTCCCTTAGTTCTATGATTATATGAATTTGTGGCACTACTAAATACTAAATGAGAGACATTGAAAAAGATAATATTTGTGAAATGCTTGGTAAACTATAGAATGCTCTGCTAATATCTGTTGTTACTGTTTTTAATAACAGTGAGGACTGCATGCCACATCTTTTTTTAATCCTTTATTCTTCGTTGTGTACAAAAGCACAACTGGTCATCAGGGCCTTGATAGAGTACTGTGTTTTAGTAGAAATGATCTTATTAAAGGCACACATTCAATATTAAAATTTTTTGTCTAGGATCCAAGATGTGCCAACCTTATACATAATTCTGTAAAGGAGAGAATAACAGTGTCACAGCTCTTCTAGGCATTTAAAAAATCAGAGATTTAAAAGTTTAGACATACCTACAGAGATATTCAGGGCATCACAGTTTGTAAAACAAAAACTCTAAGGAACCTAAAGTGTCCATGAATGGGAACTTCTTAAAGAATGATAGCATAACTCTTCAATGCAATGCCATGAGATTGATTTTACAAAAGAATGAGGTATATCTATATGTGCTGATAAGGATAGATATCCAGGATATATGATAAGTGAAGGAAATAACAAGGGACACTCTAGTGCTTATATTGTATTTCTATTTGAGTAAAAATAAGTGGCAGCATGCTCAAATACTAGAATGGTTCTGGAAGAAAATTATACAAGAAACTGTTAACCTTGTTTGTCAAAGGCAGGCTTGGTTTCTTTATTGTCCATTTTAGTAAGCTTTAAATTTGTATTGGAGCCGAGGTGGCTCAGTGGTTAAGAGCCTAGCTGCTAACCAAAAGGTCAGCAGTTCAAATCCACCAGTTGCTCCTTGGAAACCCTATGAGGCAGTTCTACTCAGTCCTATAGAGTTACTATGAGATGGAATCAACTTGACAGCAACGGAGTATTTGTATTAGGTCCCTGGGTGGTGCAAATGGTTTGTGCTAGACTACCAACCTAAAGGTTGGTAGTTCAAACCCACCCAGTGGCACGGCAGAAGAAAGGCCTGGAGATCTACTTCCCTTAATGGATTTTTCTTTTTTTCTTTTTTTGGTTATATTTGTTTAGTATATTTGTGTGTTTTCCAAAAGACTTTTCACATGTAGTATTTCATTTCACCTTCATAATTATCTTACAAGGAAGTTAAAAAAAGAAACCAAGCCAGGTGCCATCGAGGTGACTCTGATTCATGGTGACTCCGTGCATGTCAGAGTAGATCTGTGCTCCACAGAGTTTTCATGGCTAATTTTTCAGAAGTGGGTCATCAGGCTTTTTATCCAAGGCAGTCTGGGTGGACTCAAACCTCCAGCCTCTCTGTTAGCAGCTGAGTACTTTAACCATTTGTACCAATCAAGGACTCACAAGGAGGTTAAGACAGGAGTTTTCCTATTTACTGATAAGGCAACAGACATAACAGCAGCTTGCTCAGGGGCACAGAACTATTCAATGTTCAAACTTGGACCTGCTCCCAGGTGTTCTTAGTCATATTATTTCCACATTACAAGCTACATAGCAGACCTGTTTAGGGGGAAATAAAGACTGTAAATGTCAGTATTCTTCTATGCCAACTATTTCCATGTTTTATGAGGAAAATGCAGTTACTAGTATGGTTAAGCAGCAAGAGCTGAATAAAATGAAATCTGTTACTGAGAGGATTGGGCTAATTAACCTGTGAAAACCCTTCCACCTTTAACAGTTTTTAAGTGTTTATTTCTTTTTGTTTAGTATATTTCAAAATATTACTTCAAAAGTATTTTCAAAGTTTAATGTCTTATCCTGCATTAACTATTAGGATTTTTATTCACATTTTAGTGTAACTAATTTTTATGATATTCATTATATAAATACAGAGCCCTGGTGGTGCAGTAGTTAAAATGCTTGGCTACTAACTGAAAAGTCAGCATTCGAACTCTCCAGCCACTCAGCGGGAGAAAGATGTGGCAGTCTACTTCTCTAAAGATTACAGCCTTGGAAACCCTATGGGGCAGTTCTACTCTGTCCTGTAGGGTCACTATGAGTTGGAATCAACACGATGGCAACAGGGATTATATAAATATGTTAAAACCTATTCTTGCTGCATTGTTTCTATAGTAATTTTAAGGATGAAGCTTTGTTTAAATCCCCTCAATACATGATTGTAAAATAAATCTCAGCCTAGTTCTTATCTGAGGGATTACAAATTCAGAGCTTATTGAAGTTCAGATATACACCAGGAGTCCCTGAGTGGTGTGGTGTAAACAGTTAATGCACTCAGCTACTAAGCGGAAGGTTGGTGGTTTGAGTCCACCCAGAGGTGCCTCAGTAGGAAGGCCTGGAGATCTTCCAAAAGGTCACAGCCATCGTAAGCTCTATGGAGCACAGTTCTACTCTGACACACATGGGGATGCCATGAGTTGGAATCAACTTGACGGCAATTGGTCCAGCTTGAAATATGCCAGGAACCAAGCATTTCCTGATTATAATGACTTTCTTTTATAGTGTTCTTCTTATTCAGTGGAGTCTTAATTAGCAATTAAACCTAACTTTTCTCAATCTTTTCCTGTTTGCGTCATAGTTTCTATGTACGAGAGCAAATTGGTCTCAACATTTAAAAAGTGGCCATTTCCAATTCCCTGTAAAGAGCTTAACTTAGAGCTGGGAGAAGCAAGAACTAAGAGAAGGAATTGAATCCCACACACACTGCCACACAGAGACACACACAGACAACCAAGCTCAGACACGCACACACTGTGCCCAGCATCACCAATGCAAAGGAAATATTTGTAAACCTGCCTGCCTGTCTAGGCCCCTGGCCCCAAGGTGTGGCTTCTCTTCCTCTTTAGTGCTTTCCCTGATATTTAAGGCTATGGGAAATATTGGATGATTTTCCCTGTGACACCTTTAGTGATCACTGTGGGAATAGTATCATGTAGCTTGTCACATTACTTTTGAAGTATTGCTTTTGTCTGATTGAAGAAAATATTCCCATTTCCAGTCCTTTGTTTTAAAATATAAAATTAGGAAAAGAAGAGATAGCGCTAGTCAAGATTTTACTGAAAATAAATGTGTTAACTAGTTTTTAGTTTTCATATTAAACCACACAAAAGAAAGCTAACTGGAAAGACAATGACAAATTATTAGATAGACTTTAACTTCTGTCTTACTGATATTTCTGAATTTATAAAACCTGTTTACCAGGCACAAGGCTAGGGACACGAAAACAAGTGCAATAGCCCTTGTCTTCAGGGAGCTTGGAAAATCAAACAATAAAATCCATGTAGGAAGCATAATAAGAATTGCAAGAGTTGCCATTTATGGAGCTCTTGCTTTGCATGTGTTATCTTAATGAATTCTTATGGTAGACTTAGTATTTACAGAGTCAAGAAATTGAAAGTCAAAAAGGTAAAGTTGTTTGGCCAAGAATATGCGGGTAGTAAATGGCAGAGCTTGGATTCTAGCCCACGTGAGTGGTCAGAGTACGGCTTCCTGTTTAAAAGTACATGTGTGCAAATTTACACAATAAAAAAGGGAAAAGA